TAAACCCCTCTTTCCTCCAACAAGATCTTCAGTTCATTTAGGCGATCAAGCACAATGAGCTTAACATTGTTGTCACTCTGAGAGAGAAGAAGTTGGAATATGTATTAGCTGAAGCTCTAATAGCCGTAGGAGCAGAAGACAAAGATACAAGGGTTCCTGCACATTCATAGACAACAGTAGCTGAGGGAGCATTCAGTAGAGATATAATGATCTTAATATACTTCCCTTTTTCTGCTTTGTTTGTCCGACAAACTTTTCGAATCAACTCCAAGACGACCATCTGCATTAATTCCCCCCAGTCAGGTATTCTGTCAACATTGGTCAAAAGATAATTAATTGCACGATCCTGAGCGCAATTGAAAAGCATCAGAAAGGCATTCCTCTTAGTTGATGCATCCTGCTCTGATGATAGAAACCTTTCAACTGTCTCTGGTGCATCAACTAAGAGCTGCTCGCCTTGTGGCAGCTTATAAATTGTCATCACAGCAAGAATTGCATTTCTTCTGACATAAGGATGCCGATGCTCCAAGTTTGAGATAATGGAGGGGATCAAAGGCTCAATGATCTCCACCTCTTTCAGCCGGCATAGAAACCTCAATGTAACACCACGGATGTATTCATTTGGGTGCTGAAGATTATTCCTCAGATTTTGACAGATCAAGATCATTTCGGGTAACACACGCCCTTTGCCATCAGTCTTGTCAATAAGCTCCAAATAAAGCAAAAGAAGTTTCTGAACAGTGTGGTCCTCAGAGGGTAACACATATCTAACGATGGTAATGAAGAGCTGAGGTAGAGTTTCACCATTCAGCAAAAGCATAATTGCATTTTTCATGGCATCAATTTTAGCAGCAACATCGTTCCCTTCAAGTGCCTTCTTGATCTCATTGGCAATTGCCGGTGTGCCCTTGTCAAAGTGTACTAGCAAAGTGCACGATTTCTCCATTTTGCATTCGTTATCTAGAAACGTCAAAATTTTTGCCATATTATCAACACATTACAGCAAAATTTACAAAAAAATAAAATAGTACGGGAGAAGATTGATATATGATGCTCCACCTAGTTACTTCCTCCCCTAATAATAATTTCCCATCACAGATTTGATTAGACATGTAATACAAGTTATACAACCGCTAATCTATAGAAATTGAAGAAATAAAATGTTGGGACCTTGAAAAATTGAAACTTATCACTCAAATAGCACAAGGTTTAGACATATAACGTGATATTTCCAGTTATTACTCATTGACAAATTAATATTTTGTAGCATTAGGGAAGAACATTGGACAAATTATTTTTTTAAATCCTTAGATATAGGAGCTTGGTCACCAGAAACACAACATTCGAATTCAAAATGTAAGGGTGAAAATGATAGAATTAAACAAGATCCGTTAAATTAAAAGAAACACAAAAACAATAAATTAGACTGAGCTACGCCTGCTTAACTTGTACATTGAATCTGAGCTACTTGACTGAAAATTTTATCAATCTCATTAACAGATCCGTGCCAATAAAGGGCAGTCTTCTAACAAAATTGTATCACCTTGTGTGTGAGTTATCTTTTAAAATCTTATTATAAGTAAGAACTTGTTCTGAAGAGACTCTGAATACTGTGAGATAGCGTCTGTGACAACACCGCTAGTTCTCTAAGAGTGAGAAATGCAACCTTAATTGAAAAGTCTTTTGCGGAAGCAGTTGTGGACGCAAATGATTTCAAAAAACATCTTAAATGTTCATCTGATTCAGAAGAATGATTAAATACACACAAAGCTACTATAAGAACATGCTGGAGGGAAAACCTGATTTATTTCAATCGATTACTGTAAGTTATTTACATGCTTTATATGTTTATGTTAATCTTCATGAACACTTCACAAGCATTCACGTCCAATGATGATTGTCTTAAATTATATTTAGATGAAAAAGATATTTCATTTTTACTAAGTATTATTGAAAAATATGAAGATATACTTCCTGTTGGACAAGAAAAACTTAAAGAGATATATTTTGATATAAATTATGCTTGTAGACATAACATAGAATTTGACTCTGTAGAAACTAGTAAAAAAATAAAAAGAGTTGAAGATGTTATAACTAAATACGAAAATATAAAAGAAGAAATTTCAGAAGAAATTGTTTTCGGATATATAACTAGAAAAGATCAACCTAGAGCTTACGAAAAGCTAGTAGAATATAGAGAATATTTAGAATAAATAGAAAAATTAAAAGAATATCGTATAAGATAATAATTGTGCTTACAAATCAAAAAGAAATAAAAGATACAGGACTTAACCTGCAAAATATTTCATTAAAGGCAAAATAGTACTTTAGAAGATAATTTTATATTATTAAAAGCCTTTGTGAGTATCTGGCAAGCCTCTGGCAATATCTTTCTGGCAGTATAGCATATCCCTAGTTTTGAATTCATTTTCAACTGTTGCTTTAAGATTTAAAAAAATTGCATTTAATATATCATTCTGGAAAACGGTTTCTCCAAACAAGAAATTGAAAAACATGTATATATATTGACTTGACAAAAATTAGATATAAAAAAATTAAAAAATTATTGACGGGAACTAAAAATCATAGAATGTGATTATAGATGATAAGATTGTAGTAAATGATTTAATAATAAGTTGGCTTAGATAACACACTTAAATACTGATTGTAGAAAGAAACACGATTCAAAAATTGTAATAATAAATAAATCTACAAATCATGTATGAGTCGTTGAGTAGACATTCCACATTTGTGTAGCAATTTGATTCCGAACTTGTCTTATGCATGTTTGAATAATCAAAATCAACAAGGTAAAATTGATCTGCAAAAAACCATAATTTAACAAAAAAATCATATTGTAATTGCCTTTCTTCATCTGATATTGGAGGAAAGTTAAATGTATTTTAAATGCTTATTTGTGCTTATAAACTTAAATTACATTCATAAATTTGAGTGAATTTTTACTTAATTTAGTGTAAATATTGTTATTGTAAGTAAAACTCAAATTTGGAGACAAATTGAAAGACTAACCAGAGTTGGGAGCAATTTAAGGCTAACTGAATTGCATGGGATTAATAGAAAGCATCAAGGGAGCAATAGTAGGAAAGTCACAACTTATTGATAGTTTGAAGAATAAATTGGTACATTTTCAAAACTTGCGAAGGACCAATTTTATAAGATTATTGGGGTTCGGGGACCAACATGAAACTTTTGACAGTTAAAATTATGACCAAAATCGAACAAAAATCACGAAGTAGGGACTAAAATGAAATAAGTTAAAAAATTTAAGGTTAAACTCGATTTGCATGCAAACAAAATTTTTATATGGTGAGTTTCACTTTCACAAGAATCTCATCAGAATCTTACGTGAATTTCCATCGTCTCCGAAATCAAGGAAAGAAGAATTGGACTACTTTCATTTCCCGTATTTTGAGTGTTTCTACTTATAATATCTTTTAAAACGTCCAAAATATGTTTTGAATTTTATCTTAAAAACTTAATTTTGTTTTCAAAAATATTTTCCAAACTATCAAATCAAACAAGTTTTGAGTGTTTTAAGAAATTGAAAATTGGAAACCAATCACTTTTGTTATTTCTTTGAGGAAACCTTAAAAGGTAGAAAAAAGAACGTCTTTAGAACCATGTTTGATAGAGCTATATTGAAAAATAGATGATTAATATTCAACATCGCTATTTAAAGTTTAAAAATATTTAAAACAATGTCTAGACATCAATTTAGATGGAGCCAAATCAGAGCCAGACATTTTTCATTGTGTGAAAAAAAATAAAGTTACAAAGAGAAAAAATAATCAAGCAACATACAGTTACGAAAATAATTCAATACATTACTACAAATTTTGCCTATGGGAGTACTATAAAACTTTTCGTTATCTGCTTCAAACTAACTGTTCCTAATTATAAACAAAATTGTTAATTTTTCCAAACGGTTGATAATGATGAGTGGAAAATAATATTAAAATTTAAAGTAGTAGTTAGGACTTAGGAAACAACTTTGAAAGTAATGTGATCGTCCGTTAAAAAAAAATAAAAAAATCCAACGACTATTAAAATGACCTTTTAAAGTATGGTTCATACTCGGAAAAAAAAAAAAGAAAAATTTAAAGTTCAATGACAACTAAATAAAATAAATTTTGAAAGTATAGGGATTATTGACCATTGAAATTTTTACCCTTAGTGCAATTCAGTATTGGTGAGAGAAATTTTAAACTTAAGTCAACTCTTTTATTTTGTATCATAACATCCAAAATTGAATATCGCCAAAATCAAACTGGTTCTTTTGGCTTTTGTGTCCTATTTTCAATCCCTGAAAAAATAGGTGAGGGTAGATGTCACAAAATCTTTTCGTCTGTCAAGTTAAAAAGAAGAATAGAATATATGTTACTTTTACAAGTGCTACTGCAATGTACAATCAGCAACCAGAGCTCTATGCATTATATGAATGCAAAGCAATCGACGGGGGATAATTCAATCCTCTTGTCATACGAGATCAGTTTTAAGTATCACTCAATTAATATAGAAAATTGGGTAGGTTATATGATTCATGATCTCAACGTTTACTTCTTGTTATACTGTTGCGCTTAACCCTTTTTTTCCTCAAAAGTATATGTCAAATCTTATCCTGAAATTTGCAAAAATGCGCTGCAGTTTATAACACAACTCAAATTTTGGCCAGTTCACTTCCTGTGTCTTCTAAATTGATAAAAATAATATTATGTCCTTATTTGGTACATACTTTTAAAACTCATTTTAACGACATTCTTTCAATAAAATAATGTTTTATGTATGTTCATATTTTTTTCCATTTTTTAAAAATCACTTTCACAAAAATTATTCTTAAAATTTTAAATCAAACATATGCCTTACATTTCCACTTGGTATGCATGACATTTATCAAAATTATATATGAATTTTGAATCGACAAAATCAAGCATGTAGAAATTGTTGGCCCCATTATTTTAGTGCTAGCATTGATCAATGAACTGCATAACATGGAAATTTAAGAAATATTATATGCATATAACAATCGAGTCAGTCATTTTTGTAAAGTTTACGTAGCACATGTTTGGTACAAATTCTTTAATTTTTTTTTTAAACTTATTTTTAACCCTACATTTTTTTATGAAATAATTTTAGACTTCAACTCATAAAACGTTCCTATTTTTAACCATACACTCTCTAAAAAAAAGTATCACTTTTCACAAAATATATTTTTCAACAAAAAAAAAAAAAAAATCAAACGTGCCCTTGATTGTTTTGTTCAAAATCAAGGTGTCCCAGCTCTATTTTGGGTAGCTTAAAATGTTGATAAAAATATAAGTCAAAATCAACAATTAATTATATCCACACATTTTATAAGACCCACAATTTTATCATCATATCTATCATTTTGTCAAAATTTATTAAAAATTTAATTTTTAACTACACCAAAGAGGAGATGGATCCACATTTATTATGATTATGAATTTATGCCATATAGATTGTTATGTCATCTTTACCGTTTAATAAATTCTTCGGATGCCACATTGAAACAAGTTCCCATAAGAGACTAAGCTACTTGTACAAAAATGTTTTAATAGAAAGTTTGCCAGATGTTGAAGCTGTAAAAAAAATGTACAAGTAGTAGGGTTCCATGCTAATAGTGTTAATGATCAAATTCTTAAAGCACGTGTATTCGTTGAACGAGGTAATTATGCCACCTCCACTAGAATTATGTCACTCCGTGAGTTTGGATTGCCCAAAAGAAGGCACGTGAATAAACTAGAACTCCTCACAATTTGATCTATTTCTAATATATCATATGCCAGAACTAAACTTAACTGTTGGAGTAGAAACTACGGTTACCCTTCGTCACCATAAACTTGGGATAAGAATGAAAAGAAAGTGTTACGCAAAAACGAGAAAGACAATATATTAAATAAGAATAAG